TAATTTAATTTTATCAAATATTGAGGATAGTTGCCATGATTATTTATACCAAGTTCGATCCTTTCGACACAATTTGTTAAAAGTTTTTTTCAAAAAACTTTTTAGGTACCTTGGAAACCACATGAGTTAATTATGTTTCATTTATTTAATCAGTTAAACTACATTCGATAGAATTACTTAGAGAATATAGTGGATATAATAGTATATTGATGTCTTCTTCTGTCATGCAATTAATCACATTGGATGCGTATGAAGTCAACGATGATCGTCAAGCAATTTTGAACCTGATGTTTCTGTTTGTTTCCATATTTTATTAATAAAAGGCTTTGAAGAATTTTTAATATAATACTTGTGACTTACAGTCTTGCCTTTATCTACACTCAGGAGTATTTGATTTAAAGAATATACCAAACAAAGCATTGGTTAAAATCTGTATTCATGAACAATAATCTTTGACGATTTATCTTCAATAAGCCAGTTAGCATCGGATAACTTATTACTAACCTATCTAAAATAACTTTTTACAACGAATGAAATACGATTAGCTCATGTAGTTTCCAAGGTATCTAAAAATTTTTTTGAAAAAAATTGTTAACAAATTGTGTCGAAAGGATCGAACTTGGTATAAATAATTATAGCAGCTATCCTCAACATTTGATAAAATAAAATTAAAGATACCCCCTCGTCTTTATATTTTTATTTAATATTCTTAGAACTTTTGGTCAGACCTAAGTATAGAATAATGATTTCTAGACAAAAAAGAAATAATCAACATTTCTAAACTTTCTAATATTGAAAATAGTAAATATTTAATTTATCAAATAATTCAAAAGGAAAAAAAAATCAACTTTATAATTTCACAAAATTTAGTTAAATTTCAAAACTCAAATAAAATATTTTTAATATTTTTAAATAGAATAGCTTTGATTTCAAGAATATAACTGTAATTATTACATACATTTTAATTAACAAAAAAAAAAAGTTTCTTCTTAGAAAAATATTGTCATCGATATGATCTAAACCAATGTAAGTTCTTTTGATAATATCATACTTTCATCCTAGTATATTTTTCAATCTAGAAAGTTCTATATGACATCCTTTGTTCTCTTCAACCCATGCTGATACCAAAACTGCTGTGAACAAGTAGAAGAAGCCTACATAGCATTGACAAATGCTGTAGTTTTTCCTAAATAATTTAAGAACAATTGCTTTCGTTCTCTACTCAAATAAAAAAAACACAACTCAACCATCTGATTTGTTCTTTGGATCTTTCAAAAAAAGTCAAAAGTTAATTATTAAAAACAAATATCAGACAATCTTTACTATTGTTTGTTACGATAGTTATGATACTCATTTTACAACAGGGTGTGGGGAAAATTCGTGAACGTGCTCGTGACCAATGTTTTTAATAGAAATTTAAAACGAGATGTACATGGAAACTTTATTTATATGAATAAAATGTACACACACACATTTTGTTTCCAAAGGCAATGCACACAGACGAAGTTTCATATATTATAAAGAAATTTAAAAAAAGCAAGATGGGATAGGTGTGAGTGTGGGTTTTAGAAGAAAAGTGTTAATTTCATTTAATAAATATACATCGTACACTGCTTTTTGGAGAAAGTCTACAATAGTATGTATTTCAAGAACAGCAAATGTTCTGTACATTTTGCTTCTCTGTGTTTACTTGCAATTAGAAACACTACGAGACATTAAAAAGAAAAAACTTGTACTATTTTTTCTTATTCATACTGATCATGTCTAATGTAGTATAGTACACGGAAGATCGAAACAGATTAGATTCGACTTGGTAAAAAAAAATCTGCATTCGATTTGATTCATTTCGACAGCATCAGCATTAAGATTGTATTCGCTGAGGCAACTCGAATCATTCGACAATTCAATTCAGTTTTCGTTATTCTATCATCCGGAGAGCAAATTTACCCTGCTATTGTCAAAATGAAAAATGCCAAAAATGAAAATATTGAAAAAGAAAATAATAGAGATGTCGAAAAATAGAAGTATTGAAAATGGTAGTGTATGAAAAAAGAAATCTACTCACACTCTTACTTCCACATTTTGCTCTCTCATTTTCGATATTTTTATTTTCGACACTGTCACCTTTCGGTCAAAGTAGGATTCACCAGACAGCAGTGTCAAGCGGTGAGCAACCTCTACTAAAGATAGTTAAGTATAGATTTTTTTGCGATTCATCGTGATCGTGACCAAAGATGTTGGTCACACAGGACACTAATGAACAGTTTAGTTCAAGAAGTACCAATATTGTGCTTTTCGAGTTTCCTTTAGGGCCTGCATTGATAAAGGAAAACCAGAACTTTATAATTCAACCTGAATCTCCTGGAGGTCGGTGAAGTTCAAAAAAAAATTATCAAAAGTCATGTGTAAGATCTTCAAAGAGGCTGGGTGTGGGTGTGGGTGTGTGGAGGTGGGTGTGGGTGGGTGTGGGTGTGTGGGTGAGTGTGTGGGTTTGGGTGTGAGTGTGTGGGTGGGTGGGGTGTGGGTGTGGGTGTGGGTGGGTGGGATGTGGTGGGTGTGTCTTCTCTTCATTCACCCACACCCACACCCACACCCACACCCACACCCACACCCACACCCATACCCACACCCACACCCACACCCACACCCACACCCACACCCACACCAGAAAAATATATATATATTGGTAAGTGTTCACATTTATAATGTAAGCAGCTCCATTGTGCTTCATGTTTTACTCTTATAGGGATTGTGCTAACAATTTTTCTTATTTAGACTGATGTTAATATTGAGTTGATAACTAACAATAAAGATAATAATTCATAAAATGGCAAAAGAAAAATCGATGAAAGTAAACAAGACAAACGAAATAAACTTTTACTATATCTTTGTTACTATAAAACATTTGTTTGTGTATAATTTACCTGTTTTCGTATTAAGATAATATATTTATCATTGACAACTTTTAACAAAGTTTTCTATCAGTTAAATATAGTTTGTACAAGTCTCGTGGAATGGAATAAGATGAATTTCTTGTCTGATCAGATTTTCTCTTTTTATTTTCATGAAAAAATGCAAGTTATGTTTTTGTTGCACAATGAATTCCAGATACTTCATAGAAACTGTCGTGAGTATTAGGATTCATTATGCATTCATTGGTGGCTTTTTGAATACAAATAGATTGGTTCTGGACTTTTTCGTACTGTTTTTGTGGGGCTCTATGTGCTTCAGACTAGTTTGTATTCTCAATAGTCTCTGTGATGGAGCAACTCACTTGCTCTTGTTGTTTTTAATGAATGATGATGTGGATGGACGTTTAGTTGTAATGATTCGTCAAGAGATGACGAACATCTACAGCATCTACACCAATTAAATGATCTTTCTAAGAGTGAAGTTTTCAAATTTGTACAAAACTATGTGCAAAAATGAACTAATCAGACTAATTCTCAGCATGATTTAAGTTACAATGTATTTCCTTGATCGAGTTATTCTTTTGAGCATCGACATGTAACATGTTGTGCTCTATACATTGAAGATCTTTTCTTATTCAAATTAATGACAATTTAGTGAATCAGAAACGTATCGATTCCACGGACCTTGTCTAGCTCAATCCTGAAAGTGTAGAGGAGATAGAGTAAAAACGAGATCATCGGATCGATTTTTAGCCGATATGACTATAGAAAAGACCATGTATACTGATTAAATTGGGCTTCGATTTCTCACTCTACAAAGCCATCAAAGTATTTCTTACCAATGGTGATCTAGATCGACTTCCAGGAATTATCTCATTTTCTGGAAGTGAATCTTAGTCGATATTGACAATTTATTGGATGATTATTCACGGACCCGACTCTATTTTTTGTCTATCAATAGAATGCTCCACAATCTAGTGCTCGTAATTACCAACAGAGAGAAGATTCTACCCTACTAAACAGGGCATGTTTGATCATGCAATTGAAAACACCATTTAAAAATCTCATTGAAGTATAGGTGACATAAAGTATTTATAAAATCGACATCGAATTTTGCTGGAGTTAGTCGAGTTCTGGCTCAGTGTTTTCAAATTCGGTCAAGCTGAATGGGAAATCTATCTGTCGGAATTTGGTAATTTTCTATGCTTGGATCCAAGAATATCTGATAGAATGCGGCATACAAGAAGTCCTTATCATTTAGTATCAATAAATCCCATTTTTGACGCGCTTTCATTTGATATAAAATTTGTTATTGATGCTGTTTAAAATCACAACGTTACCCCCCTGGAAAAACATTTTTACGCACCCTGTACAATTAGTCGAAATTGTTCGACAACCAAATATAGTTTGTCTTAAAGCTATCTTACAATCAATTGGTTAACTAACTAAAGCAATTAACGCGTCAAGCACAACACATTTTCCTGTAAAATGATAGTTATTGCAATGATTGGCCAACAACGATTATAAATCAATACAGATTAATTAAATTTTCTTTATTGATGATAGCCTTTTTTAGAAATGTCCCATCTACCTTTTTATTTGTAGTCTATAAAATAGTAGATCTTAAAGAAATGCTTTTGATGATTGATTGAAATTGCATATGCCATCTATGATGGTGTCCAGGATTACATACGTATGAATGATTGAATCAATATCGAAATATATATCTACAAGTGGACTTATGATGGAACTGAGCTTTCACAAACTGAAATTTTTCACGAAAATAGTTTGTCCCAGATAGTTGTTAAGAGTAACGGACTTATTCAAATCTAACTCATTGCAACGAGCTATCGTAGTTTAGTGCCATACCTAAGTGTAAAACTTATTTTTCATAGAATAAGGAAATTCGGTTTCAAAAAGTACCTATTTTAAGTCATTTGTGTCATGAATGTATTTTCTGACGTTTATACTTTTATAGATGTCATACCTGGTAGTGTATTTTAATATTGATTGACATTTCTTGCGATGATTTATACCATCAGTCATTGTGCTTTTATTATTTGCTATTACCTTTCGTTTTTTCATATAATGGCATCAAACAAAAAAAGAAAATATGTTCGAGCTATTGACAATCATGAATTTGAAAAATTTGTTCGAACACATCTAACAAATGATCTTGGAGATATAATTCTTTTAACAATTGGAATTAGATCGTATAATGGATTTTTACAATGTCATGATTTAAATGCTGAATTACTTGATGTTTATGATTCACTTAATGAAAAAGATAAAATAAATTTATTTTTACATCATAATTCATCATCACCTTCATCAACAAATCAAGTGAAACCTGCTATTTTACGAGAGTTAAAGTTTTTTCAAGATGAAAGTCGGAAACAAATTGTCACTGATAAAAATAATGAGATTAATTCCGGTGCAGACTTATTTAACAAAAATTAATAAAAAATTTTTATTTTGAATTATTTGTAGAAAATAGTAGTTCTACTCAATGTGAAAATGATCCAAAAAAATTTAAAACAAACTCAAATACTTATCAATCGATAATATTTCAGGCATGTCATCATGATATTGAAGAAAATTCAACAGTAAAATATAGAGAAGTATATTATTTGTTTTATAGTTTCGTATCTTTTGTTTCTAATCTTTTACAGAAACCTATAAACAAAGAAAATGAAGCAACAGATTGGTCTTTCGACAACGAAGAAGCATTAGATTATGATATACAATTTAAAGATTTAACAATTTCACAAAATTTGATTGTAAAAGAAGTAACACATACATATGTAACAACACAAAAGATACATCATTTTTTCGAAAAAAATATGAAAATAAAGCCTCAAGGCAAAAATTACCATCGATTGCTTGAATATTTGAAATTGACGTATCTTTATTTTTTTTAATAGAGATTCAAAAATTTATTTTCTTATTACAACATAGCTTAGCTTGGCATATAGAGAATCTCTACGAGTTTACAATGAAAACCAGAACAAACAATATATTGTATAATCAGTTTCTTGAAAACTTTCGAGATTATTGTTCGAAAAATGATATTGATTTAAAACAAAAAAATCAATGGCTTGTTGATTATATTAAAAAAATCAAATATGTAAGATTTCATATCCTTCAATCTCTATTCTTGTCTCATATATTTTTCTGTTATTGTAGAAACCAAGTGGATATGGTCATTGATACAAATATGAATATGTTCAACAAAAAACTAAAATAATATTTTTTTTTCTTTTTTTGTATACACAACAAATAAGTCAGAAAAATTTATGTTGGGTCTTTATATGAAACATGTTAATAAAAATGAAATGAAGTGTATTTATCGGTGATAAATTTTTCCAGATATCTTCCATTTTCATTTTTATATGCAATATAGAAAATAATAAAACTTAAGGAAATACACTTAATAATTGTTTCGAAAGAATTTGTTATATACAGTTATATTATAAAAGGTAATATTAAGAGTAGTCATATGAAGCAGCGGTGGTCATCTCGATAGAAAGATAGAATGCGTTGTTCACTATGACACAAAGAGAACAGACGATAGTATGGATAGAACAATGTTCTCCCTGGATGTAGTGACATACATATATATAAATGCCTAAGCATTCGTTTTCAGATAGAAATGAATAAGATCAAAGCTAAGTTCTTTGTTTGGAAAGGAAAAAATAGTTTACTGGTATTGTTTCCGTTGTTCGTTTTTTTTTGTTTAAATAAATATGCTATTACATTTTTATTCGGATTGGGAAGGTACGACGATTCCAATTTGTTCAGGACGACCATATCCATTAGATGTGTATTATGATGATCATGGAATTAATTTTGCATTATATTCTGAGTATGGTACTAAAGTTTATTTATCGACCTGTCCATTCGTGACGGAATCACGTTTTTAAAATGGTCATGTTTTCATCAACGTTGATTTTTTCAGAAAGTTAACTGTAATTTCCCCGAATGAACAAGTGAATAATATTTGTAAAAAAACAATTAAGGAAAAAACCTCACATCATCTTCTGATAAAGTAAAAATTATATGATGAAAGCATGAGTTTTCGCATTTTTCTGACTTTGCAAAAATAGGTGGACCGGTTCATTGACAGATCGTTATGTTTATTTCGACCAAGCCATGATGAAAAACAACAATTAATTGGATATGCTCTAATTTATATTAAAGGTAACTTTTGATTTATCTATTTAGCGCAGAACGTTTACTTTTATATAGATTATTCATTTGAAAACTTTTTTCTGTTTAGAACAAACACATCAAATCTGGCATATTTATTTATCTGATTTTGAACCAGGTCAAATCTATGCTTATCGTGTTGATGACCCATTTGATCCACAAAATGGTGATCGTTTTAATGTAATTAAACTCTTAATTGATCCATATGTACGAGCTATTACAGGGATATTAGATTGGCATGATTCATTATTTGGTTATAATATTGATGATGATCTATCACCAGATAAAGATTTAACATTCAATATTGAAGATAGTGCACCATATATACCAAAATGTGTTGTTATTGATTCAAATAGTTTTAATTGGGGTAGTGATACTCCACCAAATATTCTATTTACATGAAATAATTATTTATGAATTACATGTAAAAGGTTTTACCAAATTACATCCAGATATTCCGGAGGCAATACGTAGAACATTTTGTTACAGATCGTCATATTAAACTTCGACGTCTAAGTAATTATTGGGGTTATCATACAATTGGATTTTTTGCTCAAGATGTTCGGCATTTATCAACAGGAGCTTATGGAGAACAAGTTCTTGAATTTAAATGAATAGTTAAAAAATTACATAAAGCTGGTATTAAAGTTATTCTTGATGTTACTTATAATCATACAGGTGAAGGAAATCGATTTAGGCCAACATTATCACTTAAAGGTATCGACAATAGAATTTATTATCGTCTTTCTGAACATGACAGAAGATATTATTTTGATTATACTGGTACTGGAAATACACTTATTTGTCGATTACCAAATGTATTAAGATTAATAATGGATAGTGTGCGATATTGGATATTAGACATGTATGTCGGTGGATTCAGGTAATTCATATTCTTTCTGAAACAACGATGTAAATGATTTGATTTTTGTTTTCATTAATTAGACTTGATTTGGCAACAATAATTGCTCATGAATTACATGCAGTTGATCGTTTAAGTGCATTTTTTGAGATAATTCATCAAGATCCAGTTATTGGAACGGAAAATATCGTGATTGTATTAGGGATTATTGGCGTGGTGAACCAAGTATGCTTTCAGAATTTGCTGAACGTTTTACTAGAAGTTCAAATTTCAATCGTGAAGAACGTTGAGGACCAACTGCATCAATTAATTTTCTAACAGCTCATGAGCGTTTTACATTAAATGATTTGGTTTCATATAATGAAAAACATAATCATAGGTATGGTGAAGATAATTTTGATGGTAAAAGTTATAATCGTTCATGGAATTGTGGTATTGAAGGTGCAACAAATGATGTACATGTAAATGCATTTCGTGATTGTCAAGAACGAAATTTTTCTAACAACATTGTTTTTATCACAAGGGATTGGTTAAATTGGAATAAAGCTGATCAACATCTATTAGAATTTACACAAAAATTAATTAGTTTATAACATCAACATCCAGTTTTTCGTCGATGTACATAGTTTCATGGTCAACCAGGTAAACATGGTGAAATTGAAGATATACCTTGGTTTAAATTTGATGGTCAGCATATGAGAGAAGAAGATTGGCAACATAATTATGCAAAATCATTTGGCGTTTTTATAAATGATCATGGAATTTGTTCTCGTTCATCATTCGGTCGTCCAGTTATTAATGATTGTTTCGTATATAGTATGCAATGCTTATCATAGATATTAATTATACATTACCTTCAGAAGAATATGCCAAAGATTGAACATTAATATTAGATACAAGTAAACATAAAGTTATTATTGATGGTGACGAAGGAAAAATATAGTTAGCAAGCGATACAATTATTGTGCTTGATTATTCTATTTTACTCTTACATCATGTGTATTAGAAAACGTAAATGTTTATTATAATATAATGTATATACATATATTTGTGAATTGTGCATATAGGAAAGTTTACGAAATAAATAATAATAACTTTTGATGTATAGAAAATTAATAGTGATATTCTACTTTCATCGATGTAATTCCACAGACACGAAGGAAATCAAATTGGACGAAGGACACTTTTTTCTTCCCTAGTTCATCCTTGGATTATAATCTTGATGTTTAACAAATATCAATATATAACATGGTTATAGTTTTTATTTTTTCTTTTGCTGTATAATCAAATCTTCTGGAATGCTTACATGTGTTGCAAAGATATCCAAAGTAAATACAATATCATAACTACAGAATGTTGCTGAAGAATAGATGCAACAGAATCTCGTTATACCTCTAATCGAAGTATCTCATCTGCTATATGGCTATTTTTTCTATTACTAAATATGTTGACTTATTTCTGAACTTATGAATTTGGATTTTTTGTTCAATAATTCAGGAAATATTTTTAGACAAGTGATTGTAATTCATTTGAGTTTTAAAATATATCAATTTTGTTGAGTTTCACTGATTGGCTATGTACCATCTTTATATGCAAAGATGTTTTCTATTTAGAGCAATGAGAAGTATAAATTACTAGATAAAATCTGCGTGAAACTGATGATTGTAACGAGTGTTTTGCAAAAAAAAAATTGTTTCGCTCTTTTATGTGTTACTTTAAGAGAAAAAAATAAGATGAAATAGTGTACTCTGATCATAATGAAATAGCTGAAGTTCAAGATATATGTAATCATTTTTTTTGTTTCCGTAAAGTGTATCATAATGACTTTTAAGAAATAGACTGAAATTCATTTTGAACGAAAGACAATTGGATAAATCTTAAATTTTCTTTTCACTAAGTCAAGATCAAAAAACATATAATCGGTTGTACATGTAAAACTAATGATAGTACGGTTGACCGAAAAAACAACAGAAATGATATTGAAGAAAAAAAAGGAATAAAACGTAGAACCACAATAATCATACTTTTATTTGTTCGAATTGACATTAAAACGACAAATATTGCTAAATGTATTTGAATCTTATTGTTTCACAAAGATTGCTTTATACTCATGTCTTTATGACAGCACTTGCAATGTTTTTTAAAATATCTCGAGTAGCATGTTGTTCTTCGAATATGTAACAAAAAATATCTGCAACTCGTTTGCTGCTGTTAGAACTATCAGTTTCCTTGAACATCTCTTTGCTGAACGTCTTCCCTTTATTGTACAGTGCTATCCAACACACGTTGTTTTTCTTAGAGTATTTTATTACTTGTTGAGCTAAATCTAGATTCTTTATTGATTTTTTTGTTCTGTGTTTGTCATAATAAATGATGAAGTAAGATAAATAAAGTATATATCTGTTTTGAGTTTTTATACCGACAGACACACGTACAAGAAAAAAAGAAGAAAACACAACAAAACTCAACATACATAGAGAGAAAAAGATAAAGCATTACATATTGAAGAGAGAGAGAGAGAGAGAAAATACTGGCATTAAACATTTAATTTTAGCTAAGCTTGACTTGTTTGGCTGGTGCTTTCCTTGTCGACCAGCATTCGAATATCTTGTGTTTCATTAGGAGTAGATTATTACTGTCTCTGTTGTTATTCAGTATTATTGTTAGCAAGATCAACTGTTTTATCATCTATAGTTTGTGAAGCAGACGTTGGAGCTGTTGTTGGTGTTGGCATCTATTTATGAACACCCATTGATATTTCATGAATGACTGCCCAATATTTTTCCCATTTTCATACAGCTTGTAAGGTATAAGAATATTGAAGAGATTGTTTAGGATCAGGATCATTAGAATGTTGACTGTGATGTATTTTACCTCCATAAATACCGCCGCTATAACGAATCGACGATCCAGATGATGACCAGCCACGGGCTTCACTCCGAAGACGAGGTACGATCATTTGATCTACGAATAAATGATATTATTTCTTTTCATTCCTGTTAAAAATACTCTTGTCGTAAAAATGTAGACATTTTTCTGTCAAAACAACATACTGAGTTGAAATTGATAGCTAGAAGTTGTTGACGAATAATAAAAAGACTACACAAAAGGGTGTGGGTGTTGATGTGAGTGGTCTCTT